TGAGTTGGTTTTGAGAATTTAAAAATGTGAAGAAAGGGAAATTAGACCCAGGCTGTGGTTTAAGTTGAAGTGGGGATCAAAGACCAGCACTTTCAAGAATAAAGGATGTGTATACATCTTGGGAGCAGCTCTCTAAGTTTGATGTAAGTCAGTCTGCTAGTGTAATTCTACCATACATAGCCCAGATTCCTGTCTGCAGTTACATTTATTTTAGAAAAGGTCTCTGTTGGTATTTAAAAGAAAATCAAAGCAAAACTTTCTCATTCTAGAACAGTTATTAGTAAAATCAGGATGAGAATTTTGCTTCTGAAAAACAAAGGTCTGCTAGCTGCCACACTAACACTAAGCTACTTCATCCCTTGTTTCTCTCTGAACTCTCAAGGGAACCAACCCATTTTTTTACTTACTACCACAAAGCAGCATGTGAAAGGAAAGGGATTGTAGAATGGGAGTGAGTTTGAGAGGTACTAGGTGACCTCTGATTGCAACAACAAGTGAGAATGAAGTGCCAATGGACGGCACTAATCATACTGAGGTTAATTCACTGTCTCATGGCTCCTACCAGAAGTAGGAGATCGTCTGCTACATGCAACTTCAGGTGTATGGGGAAGAACAGTTCCTGTTGCTGTCTATCTTATTTGTATGTGGAACAGTTATCTGTGATTGAGGTATCCATTTTCCCTTAGCATCCCTTTCCTCTGAGATTGTGATAAATTTGAAACCAGAGCAATCTTTTGCAGTTACTGTTAAGATACAGAAAGGATTCTGGGGGATTACTGAAAGAAAATAGGTCTCCAACATTACTTTTCTTCTTTATATGCTGTCTGAAGGAGATAGATTGCTATAGCAAGGCATACAGGAAGCACTGAAAACCACGGTGTAATCTAGACAATACTATACTAACAGTCTTTTTAATAAGTTTTATAGAACCCAGGCAATGGTGAGTATTACTTTGTCCTGGACAGTCCACTTGTAGCAAAAAAGTTATTGCAGTAAGTTTCCTTCTGGAATGCTTTCTCTTGTGGGTGGGTTCCTGCCAAACTTCCCTGAAGACAGGGACTGACCTGTATATTCTAAAAGTTTATAATCTCTTTAAAGTCTTTCAAATACTTTGGCATTTGCATTGCTGAAACAAGCTGAGAAATATCACCCTAAAAATAGGTCTTTCTTTTGGCACTGTACATGATTTAGGCAAGACATTCCTAAAGCTTAAAATAATGAGCATTCAAAACAAAAAAAGTCTCCTAAAGAATCAAACTGCAAAACTGAATAGGTTGATCATTATTTTTTTTCTTATTAATCTTTACTCCTTTTAAGGCCAAATCCAAACCACATTTTTGTTTATACACAATGGTTGTTTTCATTTCAAGTCCTAAGATCTTGGGTGATAATTATTCAGTGAACAGAATTTCTACCTGGGAAATCTGAATAAAGCATAATCAATTTGCGTTAGGTGTTTACTGTATGGAGGACCCAAAGGATAAGCATCTCCAAGGAAATAATATACTAATTAATTTGCCCTCATCTGCTTGAAAGTAAAAATCCCTTGCCTTTGTATTGGTTATGGCTGCAGCTGAACTGGCAAGAGTTCAACTTTGTTGGAAGTATGTGTTGAAACATTAAGCGCTTCCTACCACACAGGCAGAATGAATGTTCAATTTTTTGACGAAAATGTTTTTGCCTGAGTATTCTGTTATCCTGTTATCTGTTATTCTGTTATCTGTTTGACTGAGTATTCTGTTATCCTTCATGTCACAACATCAATTCTGTTAAGATGTGCTTGTGATACACATGTGCTATGCACTTGTTTTATAAGTTATGAACTGTGAACTCTCCAGAAAGAGCTGAGTTGATCTATCAGCTGAACAAGCCTGAGAATAAAACAGAGGGCCAAAATCTACAAAAGGATTTAAGACTGTAACTCCTTTCCAGGCAGCAATGCTCACTGTGAAATAAATAGATGGATAGGAACCTAAATACCTATGTGGATCTTGGCCTGTGTCTTGTTGATCTGTGTCCAGTGCCTTGTCTTCATAGCTTCTATTTCTCTAATCACCTTTATGTTTTCTCAAGTCCTGACTTACAGCTATTTCAAGATTCACCTTGTGATACAAGAACAAATGAAGATAATTTCTGGGCTCTGGTTACTGAGATCCCACATTGCTAATGTCATGTTTAACACACCTTGCAGTTTATATTGGGCGGTCTGTCAGTACTCTGGCTTTGAAGGTGCCCTTGGACTGGTCCTTATGTGAACTTGGCTGCCTGTCAGCAGCATGACTGCACAGTTTTGGTAAGCTTGGAAAGTTCCTTTAAAGGCTTGCAAAAGGGAAAGGCCTCATTTCAGCACATTTTTACTGGTGACATAATCTCCTTTTAATATTTTTGCATATAAAGCATCATGTCATTTACCAGGTCAAGAAACTCACTCCCAAAGAATGTATGCCTCTGACTCTAGGAGAGAGGCTTTAAAAAAAGATAAATATTGTTTCCGTTCAGCTTTCCCGGGTGTCTCATTCTTTAGCTGATACACATTCTTTCCCCGTGAGCAAGAACACGATAAGGCACTAGTGTCTATCTATAACTGCCAGGGAGAGATACTTGCTTAGTGATGCAGTACTCAGCAGAGGAAAGAAGGAGAAAAAACAGCCCAGTCCATAAATACTTGCCCTGAGTTCTGCTGTTGGTTGCTCCTCTGTGTTGGCATCCTTACTCTTCTTTGGAGGGCACCATGTGTGAGTTGGCCTTTGAGAGCAAAATAAAACAACGTGTTCAGGACTGAGCACAATGAGTCACCAGGAAACCATGTGTGCTTTCATCTCCTTGTAGTTTTTGTGTTTGATTTTTGTTTCTCTGAGAATAACTATTTATATAGTACTTAAAGGCCCTGGTCCAAACTGAAGCTTGCATTGCTAGGCTGTGTGCAAACACATGATGAGAGACAGGCTCTGCCCTTAAAACTCAGTGGTCAAAGTGACCCTGACAAGTAAAAGACAGGTCGGAATATGATGTGACTTTCCAAAAATTATGCCACAGATCAATCACTTGCCAGAGAGAAGAATCATTTACTTTTCACTTTTCCCCTCCAAGTAGTTTAGAATTAAGTAGAAGGTAAAACAAACCTCAACAGGTCAGAATTCAACTTCAGTGAATCACTCTGGTCATCACTTGCTACTCCTTGGTTCATTGCCTTGTGTTGGATGAGAGAAAGAGGGAACTTGGATCTGTTTTGTACAGATGTCCTCACCACAGTGGTATGAAGTTGGTCACTTTCCAGCTGTGCTGATTTTGTGACTCTACTTTTTTACATTCAGTAGAAATGTCCCACATCAACATATATGGCATCAAGTGAGAGGTAGCTTCCATACAGAACAGCTTTCCTTTTGGCATGTTGTTCAGCTGTGACTGTGTAAGAGCTGACAAGGAATGCATTTTTGCCAGCTTGGTAATCCAGAGTGCCTGTTTTCTAACCTGGCAAGGAATAGATGGGTAATTTTATTCTTTTTCTAAGAGGTGGGAAAAGCTGAAAATTAGAAAAGGAATATTAGAAACAGGCAGCACAGATTTACCAAGCTTCCAATGAATGCTGACATTTTTCTGTCCACGAGGTCTGTATCTATAGTGTTTCACTAGTGAGTGAAAAAAAAAACAAGCCACACAGGCTGACTTCTTGAATGTCATTTCATGACATGTCTGGTGTGATGGTATCTTTTACATAAAAGATTTGAACAGTATGATTTGAATAAAACCTATCACATTCTAAAAACGTTAGAGTTCTACTGGAATCACTTTAGAATGTATTGCCTGTATCAGTGCCTGATTTCCTTTTCAAAGATTTTGGTAGGATGCTCTAAGTCCCTATAAACTTAGTCAAACTGTACTCTTTTCCCTAAGACATTTTTTTCATGGACTTTATTTAGGAAAAGCCAATCTCTGCTTGCACCTGTAAAAATTCCAATTAGAAAATGTGAGAAAAGTACTGCCACATTTGTTTAATTTGTTAATTATTTTGCAACATTTTTTATTATAGTCATGAAAACTAAGCTGAGTTATGAATTATACTGCTCTGGAGATTTAAGCATGAGACTGACAAAAGAGAAACTTCCTGAATGCCTGAATCAATTGCGATGTAAAAGTGAGCTATAAACACCTTGCCTAGTACTTTTACAAATAATACATTTTTGAGGTAATGTCTGCATTGTGCCTAGGAGCAATAGTCATAGACTACCAACACAACATGGGAATATGGTTGGCAAGATCAAAAGTGGGTGACTTTCCCACAAATTTATGGTCTCTCTGAAAGAAGATGACAGATGGATACCAGCAGAAGACTGGTTATAGGTATGTTCAGTGATCTACCATTTGGTAGCTTAACTTTTGCCATGATTTTCCCAGGCATCTTGTCAAAACAAATATTTCAACAGGGATTTGAACCAGTAAAATGGCTTTGCTTTTTGGACCATATTTTAAAATCCAGTTGTGTTAAGTTACACGAATGCAAAAGGTCAAAGTCGACTATCACTGTAATTGAAAAAGTAGGAGAGTTAATAACTAGCTAGTGAGGAGCCTGAAGTTTTTCTTTCACGTGACAGAGTAAGGAAACAGAGATAAAGTTGCAAGGAAAAAAGGTGACAGTAAGACAGATTAGAAAAACAGTTGTTGTAGTAACTTTCTGAATGGCTAAGAAAAGGGTAACCCCATATTAATAAAAGTATAGTAACAAGATGGGTATAAAATGTGGCATGGCTGGGTAGTGCATCCATCTGATAGCTGAGCAGTTTTTCACATCCTTTTCCAGGAGAAGTGAGAGAGGCTTAGCACTGAGCAACTGCCCTGTGGGACAAGTGTGCCATGCAACTGGACCTTGAAAAGTGGGGGCTTCTTTAGCTGTGAAAAGCATCCTCTAACTTACTCACTATAAACCAAACCTACTGTTGAATTGCTCTGGATAGAAAACATAGGGAAAATATTAATTTGTGCTCTGTTTTCCCTTACTACAGGGGATGAGTGTCCAGGAAAGCAAGTGATGACATGGGTGTGTGGGACTGATGGCAGAGCTCTGCCCACAGCGTCTGAAGTGGCCAAAGACTACTCCAGCTTGCGGGAATTCTCCAGCAGTGAATCCTTTTGTCTGGCATACGTTCACTTTGTTTAATGCAAGATTGATGAAACAAACCAGACAATTTGGCCTTCAGATGCTATAATTGTGAACAAACTGTCCAGAACAAAGATATTTTCATGACACAAACCTCACAATCCTCTCTGACTTTTGATTTTCCTTTCCCCATGTTGAATCCATTAATTTAGATATTTTGAACCGTGATTTAAGGAAGGCCTTAACTCTGTGGGTACTGACTTCTACCAGTTCGTACAATCACTCCATGGGTGGGATTTTAGAAAATACTCTGAGGTGGCCTGCAGGAGAATCCCATTTTCCTTGTCTAATTCAGTGGGTACAGGGTGGAATTTTCTTTTCGACACTCTCTTACATTGATGAAGCAGTCCAGGCTGTAACAGATAACTGATGTCACTGCAGTTTAGAAAGTACGCATTTAAATGAAACTGTAATACAGCCTTCTTACAGATTGTAAAACTGGACAGCCTGCAACCATCTGGCACTCCACCTCTGAAAGAACATCAGTAGAGACAATGGTGTTCTTTCTGTAAGAGTGCCACCATTTAGATGCAGCCATCACAGAAAACCCCTTCTTAAGTCAAGCTTTATTCAACTTTCAAAGCACATGTGAAAAATAAATGTTATTTCCAGTGCAAGCCAAATATTCATAACTATTACATCCTTAAATCACACTTTATGCCTGCTTGTATCAGTACAAGCAGTAAGAAAAACTGTGCATCTCAGCCTCAGCCCCAGCAAGATTAAATATACTGCAAACAAGATTAAACACGTTGTATACCTCAGGGAGAAAAAGAAGTGTGGAGAGGTGGAAATCAATGCACAGCGGAGTTTCATGCTGATTAAATTTCCGCTGAACTGGCTTTGATGGTCCAGGTGAGGACCTGTACTTTAGGTATCAAAACTACTTCTTTCTAGTGACAACTTGAAGTCAACTCCACTAATAGGCGCTTCCAGTCTAAAAAACCTTGAAGGCAGTTTTTCTGCTCACGGGAAGCAAAACTGCTAATTTCATAAAATCTTAACCACATTAGGAAATAATTAGAAATTCATGTCATGAAGACAGACTTGTCCTGTAGTGACTCACAGTAGTAATATGGAAGGAGGTGAGACAATGTGTTGGGTTATATAAGCATTTGGGTTTTCATTTATGACCTTAGTGCTAATGCAGGTCTTCATAGGCAGAACCATCCAGAGAGACACTGAACAGTCACACCCCAGGACCTGCAAGTTCAGCTCAGATTCTGACCTTGGATGAACTGAGGAACCTGATGGTCTTCTCTTAACTGCCCCTTGGGGTGACATAACTGGCAATAAGAGGTTTCTGTTCAGCAAGAGTTTCCTTTCCAGCTTTCTAAAGGTGTTTCAGTTCATGCTGACATGTGATAGAACTGGCTGGGAAACCTTACATGGGGATTGCGTTTAGATCTTTTGGTACTCAGTAAAAAGTCCAGCATGTGCCTAGTCTAAAATACATGTTTAACCATTGATGGAAATGGGACATAGGTACATTTTTCAGTGTTCATCTGAGCAAGGCTATTTCTCTGAAAGGGTGTCAAGGTGACTGCTCAAACCAGCATCCTGGATTTACAACTGACAAATATTTTTCTCTGTCATGATTAGAGGTGGGCAGCGAAATAATGAGCTGTAACATCAGTTTCTCTGGTGTCTGGTGACTATCAGAATGGGAAAGACCTTGGCTTTGGAAAACCTTCTGTAAGAAGCCAAGCAAACTCTTCCAGTTTCTTCCAAGCTCCCCTCTTCCTTGCTCCCCTGCCTGCTTGGCTTCTTGTGCTGTGGTGACTCTTCTGCCGACAATTCAGTTTTGCAAAGAATTTCTAACCAGACTGTACTCAGATCTGGATATGGTAAAGTCTGTGGGAGAGAATTGCTGTTCTTCCTCCTCACCACTTTCTTGTTATTTTTGAATATTTGAATCCCTGTATTTGAATTTCTGTAATTTATGAGTGAGGTTATACTTTGTAATATAGGGTTAAATAAGAAGATATTTTTAATAACTATTTTACTTTATATTCAGTAACCTTGTAGATTACTGAAGCCAGCTCATATATGAATCCATGCTCGTATAGATGGAGCAGGAAGCAATGACAAGATAAACTGCCTCAAAAACATGATAGTCTATGGACATAACATAGAGTTTTTCTTCATTGAGTAAGGAAATTAAAATTGGTCATGTGTGACATCTGATTCTTTTTGTGGGGTCTTTCCAAGAGAGGCCATGCTTTCACTGCACAATGAAATCTGATTTCACAAAATACTCAGTTGTGCTAACTTGCAGGGTACAAGCAAAGTGCTCCCTGTTTTGGGTACTTTTCCAGACTGCAGTAAATCTCTGGAGAACCAGTCTCAATCTTAATTTTGGAATGTCTTCAACAGAGTTGTTTGAAGTCTCCAGCAGAATAGTCAACCATTTGGTATATTCTTCAAAAATCTCATGCGCCTGGAATTTTTCCTTCATGGTACAACACAATCAGAATTTTTTGCAAAGTGTCAAAGAGAATCCAGCCTTCTTATAAAATAACCTTCTCCCTCTGACAATATCTCCCATTTCTCTCTAGGGGTAATTGCAGTATTATTAAGAAATCAAGCATGTGAAAACAGTAATGCACTAATGAAAGTATTGAAAAGTAAATAGTGTGGTAGTGTCCTGGGTTCAGCAGTAGCACTCATTATTTTCCTCCTTCTTAGTAGCTGGTGCAGTGCCGTGTTTTTTACTTTCACCCTGGAAACAGTGCTGATAGCACCAATGTTTTAGTTACTGCTCAAATGTTTGGTCTGGCCAAGGATGTTCTGAGTCTCATGCTCTGTCAGGGAGGAGGGAAAGCCAGGAGGAAGCAGAGACAAGACACCTGACCCAAACTAGCCAAAGAGGTATTCCATACCACAGCACGTCATGCCCAGGATATAACTGAGAGTTATCTGGAAGGGCTAGTACACTTTGGGGTTGGACAAGGTATTGGCCAGTGCTCAGTTGGGGAGGGTGGGGCGAGTTATCGGTCAGCTGGTGCTGAGGTGTTGTATTCTCTTCCCTTGTTATCTCCTTTATCATTATTATAATTGGTGGTAGCAGTAGTGATTTGTGTTATACCTTAATTACTAAACTGTTCTTACCTCAACCCGTGGGAGTTGTATTCTTTTGATTCTCCTTCCCATCCCTCCGGGAGCAGGGGGAGGGCAAAAAGGGGGGAAGTGAGAGAGCAACTGCTTGATTTATGGCTGACTTTGTTTGAACCACGACAGGTAGTCAAAGAAGTCTGCGCTTCGTTCTATGGGTAGGAAATCTCTATTTAGTCTATGGCTTTGTGTTTGACTGTGGGTCAGTGTCTCACTGAGAAGTTGACATAGACATGTTTTTATATCTTGATTATTTTCCTGAGGCTTTTGTACTACCATCCTTATTTTCTTGACGAAAATGGACAGATTATTCTTTTGTCTCCAGGATCAGTAGAATACACAGTGACCCTCTGTCCATACACAATACTCCCTTGCAATGCCAAACATAGGAATAATCTTCTAGAAATGGCAGAGGCACTTTAAGAATGTTCTGAGTAGTACAAGAGAAATGTAAGTTTTGATCAGCTCATCCTTTCTTCACATTTATCATTGTATATGAAGACATTTGACCTCTAAAACGTTATAGTTGTCACTCTGTCAATAGAAGGAAGTACCCTAGATCAGTGTTGGCACAGAGATTTAATGTTGTCAAATTAGAGCTTCAGTCTGGCACAGGCATACAGGCTAAAAAATCAAAAGTGGCTGTCAAGCAAGCAAAGGTAATAAAGCTCTACTCCATTTTCAGATATTAGCATGGGCAAAATTATTTTCCTACCCTGGATGGATTGTTCTGTATTTCAGCACTTTTTGTTCTTTTTCTGCTACTTTGAAGACCTTGCTTAAATAGCAACTTGACAAACACAAATCTGTGTGAAGAGACCATATTTCATTCTGGCTTCAAATCAGACCTCTTCTGCAGAAGTTTATTTTCATGTCTGAAATGGATTTCCTATTGTTTTTAACAAGGGTGGGAACTAGATCCTGGCTACCTTTGTCCACCAGACTTGTATTTCATGGCCTGATTATTTTCCTTGGTGTTTTTAACATTTATTACTTTTTGAAATTCAATTACAAGGCAAGGAAACAGGAGTTGTACAGTCTGGAGACCTGTAGTTAACTACAGAATTTATACTTATGCCATTCCTCTTTTGCTTTAGGGATCTGATGGCCAGTTTTTCAATAACATTTAAGTTTGTAATAACATTAAGTTCCAATAGGACAGTGTTCTACACCTAAGAGAGCCACTTCTGGAAAGGCACAAAACAGGCACCAGTTTATCTTCAAGATCTCAGCCTTTGTTTCAAACAAACCAAAGGCCAAATACATGAAAAAAACCCAACCCAACCCAAAGCAAAACAAGAAAAATAACCCTATTTGGAGAGTACAGCAGTGCGCGTTGTAATACCTTGCTTTTAAACATCCAAGTTCCCTGTGGATTGCGTGGCAGTTGTTACCCAGCATTGAGGACAAGTACCATTCCACACAGGGACTGTCTTCATCAGCATCATGAGCAAGCAGCCAGCAGATTGCCAGAAAGGACCTGTTGCGTGCTGTGTCAATCTTTCTACAGAAAATGTTTATTTCATTGTTTTTTGTGCATTAGGTACATTCTTTGCATGTCCCTTTGGACAGGGAGGAGGAAGACCTGCTTTGTGGATACCTGCACTTGTGTGTGAGCTAGGCATCCAGTTCATTGGATCATAGGGTGTTTCAGGTTAGAACAGAGAACTTGAAAATGCATGACAGCACACAACTAAACACACCATCTGAGCAAAGGGCAGTACTCCCTGGGAAACTTTCTTCTTGTGCTTTTATCCTATCCAAATTGATCCTAAGTTTGTGTTCCAGTCCCTATGTACTCACACTATGTCACAGAAAAGATGTATGTCTCAGTGGTACTTAAACACATTGATTGCAAATGGGCTTGAAAGGGTGAGGAACCAGACATTACATTAAGGAAGCTGCCTTTAGGAGCTCTACCAGAGCTGCAGCCAAGCAGAACCATGCCATTGCCAGTGGTTTGTACGTTTTTGCAGCAAAGTACCATTAACACCTTCAGTGACTGTTCTTTAATGGAAGTAAGAACAAATTGTGGACACAATTTTCACCCAATCATATCAAAAGACTGGAAGAGTCACAATCACAAGACTTTCCCTGACAACTTATCCATCTCTTTCCCTGTGGGAAAATAAACCCTGCTATTCTTTCCTGTGTCACTGCTTTGAGGTTTACCATATTATGTTTCAGAGTGGGTGGCAAGTCTCTCCTGACCTCATCATAAGAAGGAAAAAGGAATGTCAGCATTGTAGATAAATAAATCTCCAGGCTTCCCCTGAATTCAAGGGAAGAACTGAAAGATGAGCTGTATATTTATACGGCTTTCCTGCCCTGCATTCAACAGACAGATATTGGCACTCACACAAAGGGAGTCAGTGACAGGCCTGGAAGCAATCTAGCTGTGGTCAACTCTCAACTGCAATCTTCAGAGGAGTCCTGGCGCCCAAACAAAATTGTTTAGCCATGCCCATACTCATCTTCAAGAATGCTTAAAGTCTGATTCAGCACCTAAATTCCACTGGTAACTGGGGCCTCAAAAGCTTTTGGTCCTGAAGTTAGCAGTTAAAAGCAAATTTTTAAAAAAGCCTCAGAAGGAGTAAATAGCACTATGTCCATCTCCTTATAACAATGCTAATGGAAGAGGGATGCATAACACAGTAGCAGCTGCAAATTAGTCTCTATAAACACGTTTGGCAGATTCGCCTTTGCACAGTTGCGTGTAGAGAGAGGGACAGAAGGAAAAGCAGGCCATAGAGTAAATATTTTTTGTGGTGCACTCTAGGCATGGATATCTAGCTGAGACACACCTCTAAAAAAATGCTAACTTTTATTGTGGTGCTGGAAAAGAACTCGACCAAATTTCTGCCTCTGTGGCTTCCTGAGTTTAGTACTGACCTTCCTGATGTCATAATACA